ATTCGTCATCCTTCTCGGTGAGCCTGAACTACAATAAGGAGCGATCCTTCTTCGATGATGCTTCTGCCTGCGCTCAACCCTTCAGGTAGATCGTTCCAGCTTCTACTCCAATGCCTGAGACAAAGGACCTCTTCCGTCCGAAGTCCTACGCCCGTGTCGTGAAATCCGCTTCCGCTGTATGTTTCCTTTTCTTTTGGCACTTAGGCATTTTAGCTTTGATATGCTACTGACTTTATCTCGTTTTCCAGCTTGTCTGCGACACAAACGAACTCGTTCGGGAGTATGATTCTGAGGTCGAGAGACTGAGGAAGATTAATGCGGAAGTCGCTGCAGAGAGGGCGTTATTGGAGATGTCGTATCAGGATGAGAAGGAGAGATATGAAGCTTCCGTGCTGGCCTTCACTGAGAAGGAGAAGGAGAACGATGCTTTGAAGGAGAAAGTCGGGGCTCTGGAGAAACGGACTGCCGAGCTAGAGGGTGATTTGGATGCCTTGTCCAAATCATTCAAAACGAGCGAGCTCGAGAGGTGGAAATTCCGGGACGCTGAGTCGAAGGGCCGGAAGATGATGGCGGCACTAAGGGGCAAGTGTGAGGGGAAGTTGGCCAAGATGAAGGACTTTATGGACAAGTCCGAGCGGAGAAAGGCGCCGTTCCTCAAGCTCAATCAGGCTACTGCCCTGGTCGGCTTCTGTGACTTCCTCAAGCGGGAGCACAACCTTATCGTCCCGTCTCACATTGTGGAGACGTATCAGCGCAGAATAAGGAACTGCACGAAGGAGGTCGACGACGTTCCTCTTACGCAGCTCGGGAATGAGGACTTTACTCTGTCGGTCGATGCTGAGCTCATCCCGAGAATCGAGCTCCCCCCAGGAACGCAAGTTCCAGAAAGCTTGGATCAGTTCGGCTCCAATTCCAAGTCCATCTCGGCTGATCGGGCAGCGAGTTTGAAGAGTCCGGCTTCTGTTGCTCGCCAGTAGACTATTTTGTTGTTTTCTCCTTTTTTTCTTTATGTTTTATTAGGTCGTACAGTTTTCTTACCTGCGCAGTTCGGGTTTAACTCGACAATTTTCAGATATTTTAATAGAATGATCACGGATATTTCTTCACTTAGCATTTTACTTAGAATTTACTTTCCTCGTCTCGCGTAGTTTATTTGCGAACTGTTGGGAGTTCGGCTTGTTCTCCTTAAATTGGGGAGTTCGTGATGCTATGATGACGATGAGAACGAACTCGGGGAGATTTTCCGAATTTGAGTCCGGGTTGACGGATCTCTTATTCGGAGGAGCGAGTGCGGATTGGGTTCCGGCTTTAAGTGATGGAGCATCATGGGGATGCGGGCGAGACTGATCTCGGCTTTTGGAGTTGTATTCGTGGGGAATATTTGGATCGATCTCCTGGCCGGGGAGTCGATGTGGAGTTAGTGAAAAAAGATGGATTTTTATTGGATTTGTAGCTGGACTCGAAATCGAGCTGCCTACGTACCCTTTTGCAAGGGATCAAGCCACTCGTAGTTCAATTTACAGAGGTGAGTTCGGCCGGAGCCGGACTGTTTTTTTTTTTGGTTTTTTTTTTTGGAGCGCTGGTGGTGCTAGAAGTATAGATCCGAGCTCGCGGTGGCTGGGACTTAGTAGTGGTACCGTTTGAGGTTGGCCGAGTTCCATGATCGCGGGATCGGCGTTCCGTCGAGCTGCATGAGTTCGTATACTCCGGGCTTGACGACTCTCATTACTTGATATGGGCCTTCCCAGTTCGTGCCCAGCTTGCCTGCATTTAGCTCCTCGGTTGTGGAATACTTTGCGCAGGACGAGGTCGCCTTCGTCAAAGTGCCGACCTCGCACCTTTTTGTTGTAGTACCGAGCAGCGAGGCGTTGGTAGTTCTGGATTCGGAGGAGAGCTAAACATCGTTGTTCTTCCAAGTTGTCGAGGTTGTTGATCATCATCTGGTCGTTGAGATCGGGGTTCTCGGGATGCTGACTTTGGCCGGACAAAGGGCTTCGATTCCGTATGCTAAAGAGAAGGGACATTGTCCGGTTGATCGTCGTGGGGTGGTTCGATGCGACCATAAGACTCCGTCGAGCTCGTCCGCCCAAATGCCTTTCTTAGCCTCGAGACGCTTCTTGATACCGTCTAGGATGGTCTTGTTGGTTGCCTCGGCTTGACCATTGCCTTGTGGATAGCGTGGGGTCGAGAAACTTATACGAATTTTGAATTTTGCGCACCAATCATTAAACGTTCCTGCAATGAATTGTGGTCCGTTGTCTGTAACGATCTCGTGCGGGACTCCGTGTCGGCAGATGATGTACTTCCAAACAAATTTTTGAACGTCAAGGGCGGTGATCTTGGGGTACGCTTCGGCTTCGACCCATTTCGTGAAGTAATCAGTCATGACTAGGATGTATTGCTTTTGACTTGTTGATCGGCATAGGGGTCCGATGATGTCAATGGCCCATCGCATAAAGGGATAAGGTGCCGTACTGGTTTGGAGTAGTTCGGTAGGCACGTTAATCATTGGGCCGTGTCGCTGGCACTTGTCATATTTCATGACGAACTTTTCGCAGTCCGCACTCATCGTCGGCCAGAAATAACTGGCTTTTTTAATTTTCAGGGCAAGGGATCGTCCTCCCGAATGATTGCCGCCGGATCCTTCGTGGATTTCGCGCATGATTTCGACCCTATCGTTTCCGCTAACACAGGCCAAGAGCACTCCGGACGCACTCCATCAGTACAATTTATCCTTATGCATGGTGTAGTGGGCGGCTCGGACTTTAAGGCGGCGAGCGGCCCATTTTTCTTCAGGGACTGTTCCGTTGAGGAGGTAGTCTTGCAGCTCGGCTGTCCAATCTTCGGTGAGCTCGTTGCCCTGGTTCTCATTCGTTGATGGGTTATAGATTCCTTCGGTTATGTGCTCGAAATCGTGGTCGGCAATTGAATCTTCGGGACCCTGCTCGGCTTCCTCGCTCGTGCGTGCCTGATTCCTTCTTTGCGTTTTTGGCGGGATCGGGTTCGGATTATCGTCGTAGTTCCGTTGCCGAGTGGCAACGTTGCATTCCTATACGGTTTTGATGCTTGGCTCTGAGATGCTCTCGACCGGGATTTTTCTTTTCATATGCGGGTCGGAACTGGAGCCTAGAGCGGCTAAGGCATCTGCTGACGAATTCTCTCCGCGAGGGATTTTCGTGAATTCGAACGTTTCAAATCCTGAAATGAGCGCCTTAGTTGCTTTTAAGTATGCATCCATTCGGTCGTTTTTGGTCGTGTACTCGCCACTTAGCTGGCTTGCAACGAGCTGCGAATCGCAAAAGGCGTGTAGATGTTTTACGCCGAGCTCTTTAGCTAGCCGCAGTCCGGCAAGTAGAGCCTCGTATTCGGACTCGTTGTTTGACGCTGGGAATTCCAGACGGAATGATTTTTCCAGGATTTCGCCGTTCGGGGATTTCAGGGGAATATCCGACACCCGATCCTTGGTGCGATGATGATCCATCAGCGTGCAACGTCCACAGCTCGCGGGGCGGCTGTTCGACGGCGAATTCTTTAGGAAGCTCGATCAGAAAATCGGCCAGTACTTGGGACTTTGCGCTGGTTCGATTCTTGTATTCGATGTCGTACTCGCTTAGTTCGACGGCCCACTTTGCGAGGCGGCCTGACTGGCTTGGACTGTGCAGAATGGTGCGGAGCGGCTGGTCGGTCAAGACGGTGACAGAATGAGACTGGAAGTACGGTCGAAGCTTCCAAGCAGAAACTACCACTGCAAACGCCAATTTTTCTAAGGTTGGATATCTGGATTCGGCGTCACTTAGTGATTTGCTGACATAGAATATTGGACGTTGTTCTCCCCTGTCTTTTCGGACTAGAACGCTGCTAACCGCCGTGGCGGAAATTGCGATATATAAGAAGAGCGTTTCACCGGTCTCGGGCTTGGGTAAGATCGGGGGGGTCGAGAGATACGTTTTCAGCTGCTTGAAGGCGTCTTCGCATTCCGCACTCCAAGTATGATGCTTGTTACCTCGTTACAACTGGTAAAACGGCAAGCACTTGTCGGTCGACCTGGAAATAAACATGTTCAGAGCGGCGATCCGACCTGTGAGCTTTTGAACTTCCCTCTTTGAAGTCGGGGAAGGTAGGTCCTGAACTGCAGATATCTGCTTAGGGTTGGCCTCAATACCGCGCTCTGTGACGATATAACCGAGGAACTCTCCTGCTGTTACGCCGAATGTGCACTTCGCGGGGTTGAGTTTCATCCCGTACTTGTTAAGGATATCGAAGCACGTCGATAGGTGCGCTATGTGGTCCTTGGCGTGCAGAGACTTAACCAACATGTCGTCTATGTATACCTCCATCGTCTTCCCGAGCTGACTGGCAAACATGCGGTTCACGAGTCTTTGGTACGTGGCGCCTGCGTTTTTGAGGCCAAAGGGCATGACTTTGTAGCAGTAAATTCCCCGATCTGTAATGAACGAAGTCTTTTTCCGATCATCCGGATGCATCAGTATTTGGTTGTACCCCGAGAAGGCATCCATAAAAGATAACAATTCGTTGCCAGCTGTCGCTTCTACCAATCGATCAATGTGAGGTAGTGGAAAACTGTCTTTGGGACACGCTTTGTTTAGGTCGGTAAAGTCGACGCAGATCCTCCACTTTCCGTTCTTTTTCATCACGACTACTGGGTTCGCTAGCCAGTCCGGGTACCAAACTTCCGTGATTGAGCCGGCTTTAAGTAATTTCTCAACCTCATCGTTGACTGCCCGTGATTTCTCGGGTCCGAGCTTGCGCCTCTTCTGCTTGATCGGTTTGTATGTTGGGTCGATATTTAGTTCGTGGCAAGTGATATCTGGGTTGATTCCGGGCATGTCACTGATGGACCATGCGAATGTTGCAACATTCTTCTGGAGGAAATTGATGAGCGCTTCCCGAATGTTGTAGTCGAGTTCGGCCCCTATACCAACACATTTTACTGGGTCTGTCGGGTCGATGACAACTTGTTCAACTCGGCTCTGCTTAGGTTAACCGAATTGACTAACTGCGGCCGCACGATCTTCCTGAAAAGGGCTGATGACGCATGTTCGCGCAAGGGTGAGCTTGCACTCGATAAGGTGGCATAGGCGAGACGCGGTCTGGCTTCCTTTAAGGGTGTAGATTCCTGACGGGGTCGGGAACTTGACGCATTGATGGAATGTCGAAGCGACGGCTTTCATGTCGAACAGCCAAGGTGTTCCCAAAATAGCGTTATATATTGCCGGCTTGTTGAGAACCAAGAACTTGATCATTCGTGCCGACCCACCGACATAGATTGGTATCTTCACCGTTCCAACTGTCCTTGTTTTCTCTCCGGTGAACCCGGTTAGCGACTCCATGTAGGGCTTGATTTCAGAATCCGGGAAATCCATATTCTTAAGTGTTTCTTCAAATATGACGTTTAACGAGCTCCCAGTGTCAATTAATATCCTGTTTACTTTGACGTCTCCGAGCTGAAGTTCGACGACGAGGCAATCGTTATGCACTCCCCGCAGGTCGGCATCAGTGAATAATAATGGTACAGTTGCCACCATTGTATGGGGTTGCGAACTCGATGCCTGCTGGCTATACTCTTTCAGTGCTCTGACGGAGTAGTTGCACGATTCGAGGGCTCCCATGATCATGTTGACCTTCTTCCTGGTTTTGGGAACGTTCGTTTCCCGGTTAGGCGCTTCGCGGTCTCGTTTAGGGGGGGCGGCCTGCTCTTCATCGGAGTCGGCTTCCTTCGCAGTCTCCTGGTTACCGGGTTTGTTTTGTCGCGGGTTCGGCCGTCGGGGCCTAGGCTTAGGCAAATCCGCGATGGCGACTTCCCCTTTACGGAATTGTTGAAGTAAGAAATCCCTCAAATGTCGGAATTCCTCCGTGTTGTGCCCATATCGCTCGTGATACTCGCAAAAACGTTCACTCAGTGGCGTATCGTCCTCTCTGTTCCATTTATTCCAGGACATTGGTGGCCGCCCTGGTTTATGGTTTGACGGTCCGTCTTGGTTCACTACTCCGTGTTGCCTGCCGGGCTGGGCTTTTGTTTCCGAGTTTTCTTTGACAGCCAAGGTTTAGTCGGGCTTTGACGCTGAATACTGCCGATCTTTGGCGGCTTCTTCCTCTTCTTCCGCGATGAAAATGTTTGATTTGTGAAGCCCGTCCTCCAGAGTGAGTGGTCGATTCCTGCGAAGTTCCTTGTGAAAAGGGGGATTTGTACCACGTTTTCTGATATAGCGCTTCGAGGACGGCTTCGTCGTCCACTGTACAGTGTGCCACGATCTGCTTGAACCGTGCCATGAAGTCTCTGAGCGACTCGGTTTCGCCTTGTGATATTTCCCACAGCTCGGAGTTACGTGTTTTTTGTCCGATGAACATTGAAAAATGCTTCGCAAACTTTGTCGATAGCTCTTTGTAGTTGTCAATGGAGTCGGCTTCCAATCTTGAGAACCAATCTAGTGCGATGCCTTCGAGGTGTTCGACGAACAATTGGCATTGAATTGCGTCCTTCTGTTCAGCCGAGGTGAACTTGAGTCGATTGATCACGATGCCGAACGATGTAAGGAAATGTCTCGGATCCGAGTTCCCCTCATACGAACGCAGTTTGAACTTCTCTAGATTGGGGACGGGAACGTTGGTAATTCGGGAAGTGAACGGTGTTTTCTGTGCTTCCTGGATTACACGGTCGATTTCAGGTGCCGAGCTGGTGGCTTGGTGGAATTTGGAACTGATTTCTCGCAGTTGAGCTTGCATCTGCTCGATTTCTAGGTTGCACGCAGTCAGCTGAGCGCGCGCTTGCTGGGGTGGACTTTCAAAATGCTGCTGCATGACCGACCGTGCTGCCGTGTGCTGTGGGTCTCGCTCTCCGTGAAAGTCGCTGATGAGGTTTCGTCGTCTAAGTGGACACTCTTGTTGCAAGCTAGAGATCTGTGCGGTAAGAGTCGCGAATTTGGCATCGTTGCTTCGGACCAGTTCCTGCATTTGAGCAGCGAAAAAGTTCATGAGTGCGGTTGGATCGAAGGCAGCTGTCGTCGCATGGCGGGCTTCAGCGCTCGAGCTCGGCTCCGCTCTAGTCTGTTGCACATCAGGTTGAGGTCGCACAGGGCTATGAACATCTTCGCCTGTATGTCCTCAGACCTGGGTGGGGTTGTCCTCACAGATTGTCACGTGACTTCCGACCTGGACCGAGGTCGATTGTCTTTTTTCAGTCGTCATGTCTTCGAGTTTGATTACTGAATCGAACTCATGGTGGGCGCCAATTGTTGATTGTGGTTCTCAACTTATTTAGGGTCGTTTCGGTAATTCGAGTTCGGAAGATTGATTTTATTTAATTGTTTCAAGTTTACAGTTCGTTCAGTTCGGAGGTCTCTCGACGAACTAGATACAATAATATTGAGGTCTCTATGTCTCCGGGTCCGAAAAAGATCCCCTTCTACAGTAACGAATCCTCTATTTATAGTACACTAACGAGGAGAAGACTTAGGGCTTCCTCGTCGACTCTCACCGCCTCTCGTCGCTGGGCCTATCTCCTAGCGGGCCGCGCTATCAGGCCAGACCCATTTCGGCTAAGACTGTCATAAACCAGGATCAATTGGGCCGGTCTCGGTCGTTAACCGGTCCGAACCGGGTAGCGGAGCGTACCTCCAACAGTCACCAATATTAATATCATATGTATTTCAATGATCACTTATCTATATTATTTTGTGTGTTTTTTGTTTTGCAAATTATTGTTAGTCACTATAGACATATATAGTACTGTATATTAAAATATCAGTTCATAGTCCAATATATATTTTTAAAATATATTTATCTGCTAAATGATGGTTTATGCATATTTTCTAATGATTTTATTTTACATTTATTTTATGCGCTTATCTCTTAATCTAATATATATCACTGTAAATTTTAATATTTTTAAATAATTTAAAAACTAAATTTAGTGATTAAAGTTAATCATAATAAAAATATCTCATATTCCTCCATAAAGGAATTATTCATATATAAAGTCATCTTATTCATAGATGAATCTAAGATGATCATCAATAATTCATTTACATTTTGAATTTTGTTCGTGCTAAAAATCGAACACACAAATTCTATAGTTCACACAATCGTTTGAACTCTTGAGCTGGGGCAGGAGCAGGAGAACAGAATAGGCATCCATTAGCGGAGGAACCACTTTGCACGACATCTATGAAAGAAGCAGTGGGCGGACCGGCGGTGAACAAGAAGAAGGAGGTTTTTGCCTTCGTAGGCAGTCCATGCCACTTGTATGCTACCCCAAAAATTTGATCCCAAACCTTAGAAATCCAGCATTTATCTTCTCCAAAGCTCCATCTTAACCCATACTTTACAGGGTGAGCCTTCAATGAGTTATCAGCCAATATTGAAGCAAGTCAACATATAATTAAATCAAAACTCAAATTAACAATCTATGACTTACTAAAGAGTCTAAGCTTTGTTATGTCATCGGTTTCACTTCACCTTCCTCCAAAAGGAGTATGATATCCTTTGATGTTTTAGACAAAGGCTAAAATGTTATTCACTTGAAACCATCAAAATTTTCAAAAGTGATAACTTGCTTACGTCTTTACAAAAGCAGTTATGGAATATGCAACCAGTGAAAAGGAGACCAACTGATTCACTTTTCATTCTGTAACGATATTCCACACCTTACAAAACAAAAGGTCACCATGGTAAGACTGTATTAATAGTTTACATCTGATAAGTAGAATATAACTGAATTCAGAGCTTCATTCCAGCCGAAGAAAGCATGGTAATCTAAGCTAAAATGAGGTGACAAGCAAAGACTAACCATTAGCCAGAAACACTATTCTGTATTCATATTCTTTTCAAGATTTATTTACTCTTTTTTTAGTATCTTTTAATTTAGAGAAACTTCAACCCATTTCTAAAACCATGATAAAATTATATATTAGCTCCAAGTCCATGGAATACACAGAAAATACAACCTGCAAACACAAAAAGAAAGATATATTATCCATGTAATAATCTCATTCACAAAAGTTCCTACCATCACCACATGCCTCCTTGAATTCCTTAGTCAGGGGACCAGTATTGTCCAAAAAACCATAATCAATCAAACTTGTCTTGCACAAAGTTTTTCTTGTTGCTTCAACCCTATAATACATAAAGAAACAACAAAAATATTAACGTTAGTGTACTAAAGAGATAACAGAGGCTTTCGGAAGATGAGTGTTGGGGTCGGTTTTCACCCCAAGAAGATAAAACCATCTCAAAATGACTAAGTATGGAAGAAAGACAAAGTAGCGGAGCCGTGCTCACCAAGACAAGTGGGAGAGCCGTGGTCACCAAGTGGGAGAGCCGTGGTCACCAAGTGGGAGAGCCATGCTCACCAAGACAAGTGGGAGAGCCGCGGTCACCAAGTGGGAGAGCCGTGAAGATAGTGCAGTAGGGAGAGCCGTGAAGAAAGATAGATGGGGCGAGCCGTATCGTAAGAAATGGGCCGAGCCCCACTCCACCATGCTTGGGCCGAGCCGCGCCTCGGTGAGGTGGACCAGATCATGTCTCCACTAAAACGGCAAGTGGGCCGAGCCGTGGAGAAGTTAGACGGGCCGAGCCGTGGAGAAGTTAGATGGGCCGAGCCGTGGAAAGGTTCAGATGGGCTGAACCAAGGCCTTGAGAGACGAAGCCCATAAAAACCCTAGGCAAAATACAAAGGCGGTGAGACGCACGAGGCGATAAGGAAATATTCCGAAAATCTCTCTCGAGATTCTCGGCTAGGCGGTTCGGAGAATTAGTATAAATAGATGATGTATACAATTCATTCTGTAACTTTTGCAACCCTAAGCAATAAGAGCTAAACACTTTTACAGCAAGAAAAACTTTCTTTCGATCTTACTGTTCTTGATGATAAACCCTAGAAGTTTCCGATCCCTTAGTTTTCCTTAAACAAATTTCTGGTTGTGCGAGTTTTGGCTCACACAATTTGGCGCCGTCTGTGGGGAATCAAAACTTTCTTATTCTAAATCGACAAGACGTTAAGATCCGAAGAACATGGCAAGCAACACCCTCGACGATAACAACAACAACGATAACGGCGCGGAGAAAGACGCTCCAGCATCAGGCACAACGACGGCGACGACCGAAACCCAAGAGGAGATCCGAAACATGATGGCTGCGCTGATGAAGAAAATCGACGAGCAGGACAAAAGAAACGAGGCGATTACGGAGAGGCTCGACGCGATGGCGGCTGAGCGACTACGCCCAACTTGGAGAGCAGGAATTCCCGACCCGATGGATGGAATCCGGAGACGCTTCGATTTCTCAACACCTGCAGAAGCCTCAGGGAGCGGCGCAAGAAACCCCTCGGCTACTCCAATGTTTCGTCCCCTCGACGAACAGACTCCCGCGGCGACCCGAGTCAACATGACCGAGCCGCCCCCTCTCCGCCGGAACTCAAGGCGACGAGCCGGCGAAGAAGAAAATGATGCGATCGACGTGGACGCCCAGCAGAACGACGGAACCACGAATCCGCAACAAACCGGCTCGGCTCGGCGAATAAGTCAAGAAGAGCTCGCCTCGGCACTAAACGGCGTTCAAACTGACGAAGTCTCCGATCCGACCCGCGGCGACAACCCAAAGACGAGCCGAGGAGAGAGGAGCGAGAGCGAGCCCCCCCCCCCTCAATCAAAGGGAATGACTCACGCACAAACTCTCGAACTCAAGGAGCTGCGAGCCTCAATGGCTCAGACAGTAGCTGAAATACGCGCCATGAAGTCCCAAGTGTACAACGCAACAAGCGCCGAGCCCGAAATCGACCGAATGCTTGAAGAAACCCAGAGAACTCCATTCACGGCAAGAATCACGGAGGCAAGGATTTCCGAGCCCGGGAAAGTGAGAATCCTGTTCTACGAGGGAACAACCAATCCGAAAGCACACATCACAGCGTTTTGGATAGCAATGGGACGAGCCTTCACAAAGAACG